GTACCCTTTCCCCCACATCCTCGCCAGCACTTGTTGTTGACTTCATAATGGCTGCCAATCTTATTGGAGTGAGATGGTATCTCAGGGTGGTTTTGACTTGCATTTCTCTGACTGCTAGACATGGTGAGCATATTTTCATGTACTTGTTGATTGATTGTATGTCCTCCTCTGAGAAGTGTCTGTTCTATCCAGAGTATACAAAGAACTCAAAAAATTAGACAATAAGATAACAAATTACCCAATCAACAAATGGGCCAAGGACCAGAAATTCCATTTCTTAATCACAAAATAGGCCAATGCAAATATTCCTGGTTCATGGGCAATTTTTTTTTTCCTCCACATGGTGATTCAGAGATTCTAACTCTTTCTGTTTTGTGTCTTTTCCAGGCCTGAAGGCCATGGAGTTCTCTGTGTCCAGTCAGCCGAGGAGGGAAGAAAGGGTAAGGAAGCCTTAGCATTTTACTTTATTTTAATTTTTGTGGTGCTGCGGTTTGAACCCAGGGCCTCAGACAAACTGGGCAAGAGCTTTACCACTGAGCTCACTCCCAGCCCCGAAGCCACCCTTTGCAACTTTTAGGCTCAGATAGGACACTCAGCTTTTTGTTTCTCTTCCAGAGTTAAGAAATGGTCACGTGACCCCTTCTTAGGTAGGGGGTTAGGGGATATAGTTCCTGATGACAACTTTGTGAAATTGGGAGGCAAAAATCTGGTGGTCTGTAATGCATTCCTCTCCTACCCCGTGGTCTGGTAGCAAGTTGATGCTGAGGACATCTGTGGGTAAATGATTCTGTCTGAGCCTCAGATGATCATAAGGTGTCGGGGGGGGGGTGCAAAAATAAGGCCTATGTGACAGTAGATGCCAAATGCCAAATGAGGTCTCCCGAGGGGGGGCACTGCAAAAGGCCAAGCAAGAATGGACCGTAGTTGATCTTTTTCAAAAAAATGTTTTTTAGTTGTCAATAGACCTTTATTTTATTTATTTCTATGCAGTGCTGAGAATCAAACCCAGTGCCTTGCACATGCTGGGCAGGTGCTGTACCACGGAGCCACCACCCCAGCCCCTTTAGTTGATTTTGAAAGGGAGAAAATGTGAATGTCATAGGTGTCCAGTGTCCCAGTGAAGTGACTTTTCTGTTGTCCCATCTGGTGGCAACATCCCTCTCCTAGGCCATGTGATAGGGAGAAGCAACCTTCTTTCTCTGAGGGTAAGAAGTGGAATTTAATTATAGTCCTACAGAACCTTTAGGGGAGTGGTAAAAAATGGGGAAAAGACAGATTCAGTGTGTTCACTCTCAAGAGTTTTCAGTCATGCAAGGGGTAGAGCTGGAATATACTTTGGATGATAACTTTTCCTTTTTAAAGGGAATCTGCTGGAAGGAGCTGTTGAGCAGAGAAGCTATAGCTATAAGCAGGTAACTGTTGCTCTGTATAATGATTCAAAGGCTGTCTTTGTGGCAAGCAAAGGTGTATCTCTGCAGCCCATGATTCCTTGGGGGAAATGGCTTTTTTTTCCGTCTGGGGATTCCTACTGTGTCTGTGGAGCTGCGTGTATCAGGTCTGACTTTGTGCTTGCTGGGCACAAGTAGCCGAGACTCCAAGACCACAGAAGGAGCATGCTGGCCTCACCTTAGCCTTGTGTTGGAGAAGGGACCCTACTAAAGATCTGTCGAGGTAAAGATTGGACTAGGATTGGCAAATCTAGACACTTTAAAACAAAATAACTTAGACTTTAAGACACATTAGGAAGACACAGCTGCTGATCTGGGTAGTTATTATGGGGTAGAGGTATTTCCTTTGAGAGAATTATTCCAGCTCTACCTTATGATATATGCAATTTTCTATATGTAGGTGAAGTATTAATAAAAATTTTTAATTGCCAAAGGAAAGGAGCTCTCCATTTATTAGTAATTTGGGAGCGTGAATCTTATCTCCCTCTCCCTGTTCTCTGCTGTGTGAGGATTACTTACCTGACTTAACCGTTGGAGGATGGGGTAGAGAGTCTCCATCCAAGGGGCTGGACTCTCTCATGGTCGGCATCTGAGAGGGGCATCTCTGGGGCCAGACACAGGAACTTTCTAAACAGCCTCTCAGAGAGTGAGAAGAAATTCTCTTTCCATAATCCAGATTTGTGGCTTTTACCTGGGCATGAAAGAGGAATGCTTCTCGGTGCTTTTCACAAACCTACCATAGGGCTGGGGGATATAGCTCAGTGGTGGAGTGCTTACCTAGCATGTGCAAGGCCCTGGGTCCTCTCTCCAGTAGTGTAAAAAAAATAAAATAAAAAATAATCCCTATCCCAAACCCTGTGTTTATTTGCTAAATATGAATAAAAATATTGATTTTTTTCTATAAAAAACACAAAATATAAACATACCCAATATAAGCATTGAGCATAGATCGTCATCTCATTTATGCAAGAGGAGTAATCTGAACTGATACCCAGAGACTGAGGTGTGCAGGTGGATGGGGAGCGGACAGCGAGGCTGCAGTGAAGCTCGGAGTCAGTCTCTGGAAGGCATTGCTGGGAAGGACACACTGGCCTTCCTCATGCTCCCACTCTCAGCCCTGAGTGGCGATGATCTATTGGTCAGGATCCCCCATAGACAGCAAGCCTGGGGAAGCAGGTGCGAAGGCTTTGACGCTGACCCATGGCTTGGGCTTCAGAAGTGTTCAGAAAGTGTTTGCTGAGCAAATGCCTGGACCTGTGTGTACTGCTTTGGGATGCCTGTTTCTTCAAAGCAGCTTTCCCCTAGAGCCTCAGCTCTGCACCCCCAGGCCAAGGCCTGGTACAATCTCAGGGCTCCATAGATATTTGCAGACGGACAAAGTCATGATATAAGTCCCAGGTTTTCCATTTTGCAAATATTTCCATGAAATTGACCCAGGGGCATTAAAATAGGTTGAAAATCACCATCTAGATTTATTTATTTATGTATATATTAATATACAATTGTTTTCTTCTTATAATATAATCACGTAGTATTTAGTATATTTAAGTTTTTGTTGATGTTCTACATCTGGGATGATGGGACAGAATAGGTTAAGTAACTGAAAGCAAAGAAAAAAAGTTATGCATCTTAAGTACTCAAAAAGCAGAGCAGGGCTGGGGTGTGGCTCAGTGGTGGAGCCCTTGCCTAGCACCTGTGAGGCACTGGGTTCCATCCTCAGCACTGCATAAAAATTAACAAATAAATGAAAAGTATCGTGTCTATTTTGTTTCAGGCAAAGCAACGGGGACCCTTTTTCGTGCGGGGGTAGGGTGCATCTGCTGATGAAAGGCAAGCCCTGGGGCCGTTTTCATAAGCTGATGAAGTAAGGGACAAGCATCCTTCAATAAATGGGATCAGCGGGGCCAAGAATTCCCACCCTCTTTAGAATGGAGTCATTTCCCTTCTGCCAGAGTTCACTCCCATCGGTGCACTTAGGCCTGCAGGAGGGAAGGGAAAAGTGATGCTGATTTTACTACCATATTTTACTAGTGTTTCAGGCCATTTTGCTGTTGCCAAGCTTTCTGTTAGCTCACGAGGGGATGTTACATGGAAGCAGTCGATGAGGTCTTTAAAGGTTTGGAACGCTCTTTGAGTAGCAGACCATTCTAATTCCCTCCCTCCCCCCGGAGACATCGATGCTCCTGGAGGCAGGCAGAGCTTGGCACCCTGGTCCTCACCATAGCTTTTCTTTATTAGGAGTTTATTGGGTGCCAGACAATAGGCTGAACATTCATTCCCTGCTGTCATGGTTCATCACACTTGCCCATTTTACAGGTGAAGACACTGAGGCCCGAGGAGAAGTTAGGAATCATGCAGTATGTCACAACGCCAGTAGGTGGCAGACCTGGGACTTGAATGCTGGCTGGCTGACATCATGTCCTCCTTGGCGTGGACTGCCTCCCCAGGAGGAGGGGGGTTGGGATTTGACTGGCTTCCAAAGTGGTGGAGGATGTACCTGATGCATCAGAGGACAGAATGTTCTTAGAAGACCATGGAGGACAGTGCGATCCCACAGCTTAGTATGTGCTGGTTGTCATTTAGGTCTCTCTAGAGTCTGGATCTTTCACATTGTGCAGGCTGCCACAAGACATATAGGTCTCGATGTTCCCATGCGGAGTGGCAGGCAGCTGCTGCCATCCTGGCCTCCAGACTCTTCCTGTGGGCGGTGTTTCAGATCCTCTTGGCCTCACCTGTCTCCTGTCCCTGCTGCAATGGCACATGGGCTCCAGCTGACTCCACACAGGTAGGACTGTGCCTTGTCCGTGTGCACACTGGTCACCTCCCACCTGCCCCTCAGGAAACCCCTACTGTTGGCTGCTGGAGACCAGGCAGGCGCAAGCTGGGGATGTGTGTGTTGGTGTGTGGTTAATGCTCTCTGGGAGGACCTGTGACCTGGGGACGCAAGAGTCGATGATAAATGCTTCCCTCTTCCACACTCCCACGGGCCAACTTTACAAATTATTCATGAGGTTTCTCTGTGAGGACAGGAACCAACTCTGCAGCCTTTTGCACAATACTTGGTGGTTAACGAATCCTAAACACATTTGTTTTGAATGAAAACCCAAAGAGGTGCATTTGTACTTAGTAGTAAAGGCAGCTCAGTATCTCATCTCCTCAAACGGCTTCTCCTCTCTCCCCTACTTCCTTCCCTTTCTCTTATTTTTTTTGGGGGGGAACATTGCCTAACCAAGCTAAAGCATCTGGGGCATGGGGCTCAGGTCATCTGAGCAGCTGTGGCACTCATGGTCCTACTAAGAACCAGGGGAATGGATAGGCAGGACCCCTGGGCAGAGTCCAGAGTTAGGCAATCCCAGTGTCTGACCATGTCAGGCTGAGTAGGTGGTCATGAGGTTGAGTAGGGGTCCAGATATTATTCTAACAGTGAGTCCGTTCCCAGGGACATTGGGTCCTTTGTCACCGAGTCGGAGTGTAGCTATACTTTTGCAGCAGTGCACACTGTGTGTATGGCTGCCCCAGAGAGACTTCCCTCAGGCTCTCTCAAAACAACGGGGCCGACTGAGGGTCATCCTGACTCCACTGAGAGGCTGGAAAGTCAAAGGCACAAGTAACCCATAAATCAATACTTCTAAAAGCCATCCATATGCTTACGGATGATGTCTTTAAAGGTTTGGCTGCTGAGAGAGGCGGAAATGAATGGACCCGGGATGAGCTTCTATACAAATGCCTTACAAAGCCCTAGGGACGGTCCTGCTTCCTCCAGCTGAGCAGGAAGGAGCCCGGCCAGAGAGTATTCCTGCAGTCGCTGACCGCGGCCACACCATGTTGCTGTTGGAGGTGAGTCTTGTGTGGTTCCTCCTCCACTGGGTTAGTTCCCGCCCTGCTCCAGGTCCTGTCCGAGCTTCCGTGGGCATGTGGAAGAGGACAGGCACATTCCTTGTTCAGCATCAAACGTGGCCCACAGCGGCTGGGCTCTTTAATGCACATCCATGGTCCCCGGATGCATGCGCTGCCATTACTAGCCTGAACCTGGGCACGTTTCTGTCATTGAGCAGAGCCCCAGTCCTCCCCCAGACTTCCCTGGCTTTCCTGCTGAGTGTCATCTTGAAGAATGTGTCACATTGCCCTATTGCATGCCTAAATCGGTCTGTTTGTCCCCAGAGAACTATTGGTCAACCCAGGATGCTATGGTTTGGAAGTCTCCTGCAAAGGCCCATGTATAAAGGCTTGGACACCAGTGAATAGCACTGTTGGGAGTTGTTGGGGCCTAGTTGGATGATGTTAGGTCACTGGGGATGTGCCCTTCCTCTTGGAACCATGGGACCATGGCCTCTTCCTCTTTCCTTTCTTTGGTTCCTGGCTGCTATGAGGTAGGTAGCTTCCTTCACTATGTACTCCTGGCATGAAGTGACTGAGCTGTCACAGGCCCAAAGTCAGTAGGGCCAAGTGACCAGGGAACTGCAACCTGGAGCCAAAATGAACTTTTCCTCCTTTTAAGTTGATTTTCTCAGGTATTTTGTCACAGTGACGAAAAACTAGTACACAAGAGCCATTTATTGTTCAGGGCCCTGTGTCTTGGGCCCTTGGTGCTTTCTGGCTCTATATAACTTGTGTCTGACTTATATAACAAAGAAAAGACCCTGGATATGATTCTCAGGGAATAATGGTTCCTCTTAAGTTGACCTGTAGCTCTCCCAGGCATGGGATGGCTGCTATAATTTATCAATATCTTCCTCAGAAGGTATTGAGGTACTGATTGATTTCTGCCTCAAGAGGTACCATGTTGTGCTATGAAGAATCCTGTTAAATGGAAAAATAGACCCACACACTTCCTACTGAAATTACAGCAAGCAGGAAAGCAAAGTTCTATTTCTCATCATCTGTATCAAACATTTAAAACGATTTTGACAAAAGTCAGCAAAGAGTCTGTTTGCAATAATCTTTCTCTGCTATTTGTGCTTGCAAAGAACCCCATTGCCTGTGTAATTAAAAGGTCACAGTCCTGGAATTCTTGAAAATAGGCAAGAGAGAAGAGAATGTTCCAAGGGGCTGGGAGAACTTGAGGGCTCATTCTTCTCCTGTTGGTCTTGCTTGGCTTTTCTACTTTAAGGCATTTACTCCTTGGTGCTGGCAGTGTGGAAGGTGAGTCTGTTTTGCAGTTGGTGACATTTGCGTAGACTGAGGATTTTTAGGAGTCACCTTCAAGGTTATGCTGCAGACCTATAGCACTGAAGGTGCCCGAGGGCACGAGTTCTGGTCCCTGTCTGGAGATTCCCGCTAACACACACATTTGTTCTTGACGGTACAACTGGCCAACCGTAAATTGAGGGGTTATCTCTTCTGGGCCTTCTTTTCAAGGCTGGCTGTGATAAAACTTTGAACTGAAGCCCTGGCAGAAGAAGCATTAACCCCTTTGAAGACCCGCTTCTGTGCCACATTGTTTGAAAAATTCCCCCGAGGAAGTAAGGAGAAAAATGAGCACTGGTCTTGAATTGATTATGTGTCATCTGCATAGTTCAAGGTTGGCTTCTCTAGTAAAATGCCTCCACCCAGCTGGGCTGCACATGGAGAAAAGAAGGACCCCTTTTATAAAATACCTGAAACAACATGCGGACTCCTTGACATTCCTTGGACAGACCATTTCAAAGAGTGGGTATTGTCAAAGGTCAACTCCAAGTAGGACAAAAGCAAACAGAAGTTAATCAGAAAGGGCTGGAAGGGACCCACTCCAACACACAGATGTGACAGACAAAGCCAGCATTATGGGAGGTCAAACCTCCCACCCTGGCCTCTGACTGACGCTGCCCCAGGAGTGAAGTGAACCCTGGGCCGGGGGCACGGGTACCTCGCACACACTTGGCCCCAGCTCTGAGACTTTAAGCTCTGGCCCAGGTTCTTGTCAGTGAGCCCCGTCCCAACCTGGAGCCACATACCACCTAAGACTTAGGTTCTTAATTGGGGTCCTGCTCATTTCTGGGACTGTTTCTCAAGCCTCTCCACCAGTACCAAGCAGGCAGTGGGCCTGGGAGTTGCAAGGTGTCTTGCAATTTACTTCAAATTCATTTCATCAAACATTTATCAAACACCTACGATGCGTCAGACACTACGTTCTGGGAATATAGATGCAGTGGGATTGGGGAGCCAGTCATGGCTCAGCTTCAGAGCAGAGCTGGAAGGAAAGAGAACAGATGACAACAAAAGGCACCGACCAGCTGCCACTAACATCATTTCAAGCCAATTCTCACGTGTGATGCTCAAACACCCTCTAAGTAGGATTCTGGCCCATCTCTTAAAACATCCTCTTCTCTCTTCTCAGTTGTCCCAGCCTGATCTCAGCTTCCCCACGGGCTCCTCCTCAGGGCCAGCCTTTAGGCCCCTTGTGCTTCAGTCTTGCTTCTGCTCCTAGTTGTCCATCACAAAGACCCAGAGGATCAGCGGGGTCAGGAACCAAGTGAGAGCAGGCCGGGAGGAGCAGACACGCAGAGCCAGAGCAGTCGGGTGTTCTGAAGTTCCACCTTGTCCCCCAGAAATGAATGAGATCTAGCCCGTGCCCCAGAGAAGACCGCTCTCTGACCAGGGATTTCAGCCCCCATTATGATTCCCCAGGAAACTTATGTCAGAGGAGAGCTTCTCTGGGATCCCGGGGGGATCAAAGGCAGCCCAGATTGGAAAGCTCGAGCCCAGGCTCAAAGGATGGATCTGGCTTTGAACTTAACTGCGGCTGCTTTCGACCTCTGTGACTTCTGGACTAATGATTTGATTTTTCTCACTTGCCTTGGTTTCCTCATCGGTCACAGGGGAATATCACATGGTAGGTGTGGAGTTTCAGTGATTTGATGAAAGTCAAGTTTGGAGAGAAGAGCTTGCCACGGCGGTGCACGGCACAGTGCAGTAGATCAGGGAATCCCTGAGGTTTCACTGCTTGTTCTTTTCTCTCACTGCCCTTGTGTCTGGATGCAGAGTCCCGGGATTTTCCTAGTCACTCTGGATGCTGGATTTTCCCTTCCTCTGGTTTGAGGTGTCCCTCGGGACAGCAGCTCGGAGTTCTCACCCTACCCGACGAGGGCTCCCGGGTAGGGAGTCATGGAGGTTCACAGTGCGCTTTTCCTGGGAACCTTCTGTAATCCTGGTGGACAGCAGGGTGTCTACGAGACTGGCTCATGACCAGATGTCCCTCTCCCAGAGAATGAGTTTATACTGACAGACACCCTTGTGGCTCTTATCTGATCTTTGTCCAGTTGATTCCTACCCAGATGGCCACTCTCTGGGAGAGCTCTGACTAGGTGGAGTGTGTCAGTCAGGCGAGATGCAGAGGAGGCTCCACAACAGGCTATTTCTTACAGATTCCAGAGAGAATAGGGCAGCATGGCCTGCAGGGCCATCAGGAAGAGACAAACACACTCCACCAGCCAATGGGAATCAGAGAGCGAAAGACAGAGAGCACCTGTGGGCTGAAGCCTTTATTGGATCCAGGGCAATAGCCAAGCAATTTTCCCCTGGAGAGTTCTAGGGGGCAGGTTTAGAGCCAGCAGGCCCTGAAGACGGGGGGTCACTGTGGCCTATCTGCACAGTTCATGTGGGGCGTGGGAGTCAGGGGGGCAAGTCAAGGAGGTTGTATCTAGCTGCCCCAGGGTCACCAGGAGGCAGTTGCATAAGGCAGATTATCTGGATCAACCATAGTGAGTCACGGAGGAGGTGGAGAAGTGAAGCTGGGAAGGGACACTGGACCCTGCTTCTGGTATGAGGAAGTTCGTTCGACCTGTATTCAACGCGGGCATCAAAGCAACATGCACTTCTAAGAATTCACCCCAGAGGAAATATAAAGTTATGTTGTCATTTTCACATTTAGACATCAGACTGTCCAGCTGGGTGCGGCGGCAGCACGCTGTCATCCCAGGAGTTGGGAGACTGAGGCAGGAGGACAGCCAGTTGAAGGCCAGCCTGGGCAACTTAGCAAGACCCTGTGTCGAAATAATAAAATGAAAGGGGCTGGGGGTGGAGCTCAGGGCTGGAATGCTTGCCTAGCACGCAGGAGGCCCTGGGTTTGATCCCCAGCACTTCAAAAAAAAAAAAAAAAAAAAAGAAAACAAAAGAAATCAGAAAACCCTCACTGGAGTTGTGGTGAGGAAGAGGAAGCGGGGAAAGTTCTCGTGCATCTGTCATTGTCATAAACCAGCTTTACTCTCTCTGGGATGGCCGGTGCCAGAGCTGACTTGTTCTCTTGGTGCTCTCATAGTTGTTTGTTTGTTTGTTTGTTTTGTTTTTTAAATCTCCCTTCCGCCACCTGCGCATGCTCTGCTTCCTGGAGCCCACACCCCGTCTTCTCTTGCCATCTCCAGCCCCTGAGCACGTCCACTCAGGTTTGGCCCCTGCCTGCCCGGGGAGGAGCCAGGCCTTTCCTCCTATGAGCCTTCTCCTGGGGCCTGTCAGCTTCCAGCCAGGACCTCCTCACCCCTTAGATTTCTCATCTGGAGACATTCCACCAGCCTGCCCTGTCCATGTCTCCAAGCTGCAATGGATCCACACTAATCCAAGTGGTCTCCTTGAAGCTCTGTCCTCTTGAATTGGCATGAAGGCAGACACACCCTCTGTTGGTCCTCTTTAGGGAGACTGGGACTCAAGAGAGAAGAGATTCTTCAAAAGTCCTCTTCCTGGGCCCCCTCCCTGCTGCCCTCTCCTACCCCCAGGTGGGATAGGCATTTGAGGTCCCCCCCCCACCCAGTTCTGGGCTCCAGGCTGGTTTGTTTCACACCACAGTCAGCTTGGTGTCTGTCACCTGTCATGTCTCTGAGCTGAGACTTCCCTGTTGGCCTCTTCCACACAGCACATGTTGGAGG